GAACTGAGAGACTGGAAAGTAATGTCAAGGTAAAATAAAGCAGACACCAAAGCCAAATGGAGAGTTATGTCTTGGGCCCTGTTTGGCAGATTTCAAGTCTCTAGTGAACAGTTTGTTGCAGCGCTAAAAATGATCTTATTACAGAGAGGCTAGGGGAAGAAATCTCATTACACTTCTAACAGATTAGAACCAGAGAGATGGTTACAGTTTCACTAAACACTAAGAGAAATGTGCCCTTTGGAATAAACAGACTGTGTTCATAGGCTGAGATTTGCTAATGGTATTTTACCAAAGCCACTTCCTACTTACCTGGTGAGCAGCACAGAGATCCCTGCCATGTCAAAGACGGTACAATGAATAAATAATAGTGGAGAAGAACAGTTGCAACGGAAGATAAAGCTGATGATCTCTCCCTTAAGAGGTAGTGCACATAGATGCCATATCTTTGCATGTCTGTTTATGATTATGCACCTTAACCCAACTTTTTGTAAACCTGTCTTATTCATTTACTATGCAATCTGCAGTGATGGGTGAGTTAATTTCAGAAAGGGGGAAATAGGAAGATGACAACCCCAACTCGTGTACCGACTCCAGTAGTGTTTCCCTTTCACCTTTTCAGTCTGATTTTATTTGCTGATGTTTCAAAGCTTGAATGCATTTCCAAATATCAGGTATCTTAAGGTATTGGGTTTCTAAAGGTCCAGGAAAATGAAGGCTTGAGTCAGAGCGGCATTCAAGGGACACTGCTGGGTGTAGTGATGGAACAAAACTAAACGTCTCCCACCAACATTTCAATTGTGTTCAGATCAACCCACCTACTCCTATATAAATACCAGGTCCCACTGTACAATACATCACTGTTGGAAATCGGGGCACTCATCCTACTCAGTCGCTCCAGCTGCTATTCAGTGAAATCAGCCTTTGTAAATTGGCAAGGCCAGAAACAATCCAGAAGTGACATAATTCACAAGTGGCTAAACTTTGCTATTTTTAACATTCACTGTTTGCAAAAGTCTTCTCTCTTTTTTTTTTTTCTTTTCATGGAAATTTAAATTGTGGCATAGACTTGATCTTGCTGATTTCCATTTTGAAGTACTGTCTCAGAATAGTGATTTTTCATTTCCTTTTGAAGGCGCTGTCAGATGTACCCCCATAAGAATAAGGGCGATTACAGATTGCTGAGGCAGTTTCAGTCTGACACCAATTTGGAGCGCGTGATCACCGACTGCAATTTTGCCTCAGACTTTATAAACAGGCACGCTGCATCCAGCAGCCAGAGACTTCTATAGAACTGAAAAATTTAGCAGTTGTCTTTTTATCTCCCACCTGCTGCCTTGCTATGCATCTTACTTTAATGATAGACCCATGAATTCTGTGGAAGACTCGCTTCTCTCCAGGTGTCAAGCATGATGGCCAATCAGCATTTTTACCCTATAATTAGCAAATACTCTACATGTTTTCTATTGATTTTGCTTTTTTAAAAGTGTGCATATGAGAGGATGAGGGGGCGGACAACGGTGCTTGTGTGAGATGAACTTTAACACAAACACTGAACTGCTCCCAGGCTTCTTGGTAATTTGGCATCAGTCAGAAGTCTCTCAAATTGCTGCTGTTGGTGTCCAGCCTGTGCAGTAGGCACTGAGTCCATGAATCGCAATCAGATAGCAATGCAAACAGCCTGTCCATAAATATGCCCACCCCAATCCCCAGGCTTAAGAGCCTTAGAAACCAGGGAAGGGAGATGGACATTGCAGCATGCTTGAAATAGCCACTGTGGGCACTTCTAGGAACAAGCACTGTAATCAAAGATCTCTTGCAAAAGCACCCCCTTATTATCCAGCCCAAGGGCCACTGCTGGCCTCAGATATGACAGGACATCATGGTATAAAAGGCAGTTGCTCATTTAACCAGGTGCCAAACTAGCTAGGGCCATGTAGGTTCAGAACCAATAACTTAGCATTAAGTCAAGCATTTAGAAATCAGTGCAGATCACAGACTGTTGATCTAAAGTTTCCAATGTACTTTAGCCTGCTTATTAGTGGCAGCTTTTTGAATAGTCATAAGGTACGGCCTCAGGAAGAGCAATTTAATTTTGTGGTGACAATGGCATTGATAATTTGTGGCATCAGAGAAATTAGGTCACACGCTTTCATGTGTAAAGTCAACATAATGATTGTGTCCTTGCCTTAGAATAAGGAGCATCTTAATTATGTTCAGAACAAGCCCTGCTTCAGCAAACAAGGAGGCATGAGGTTTGAGGGCTGGGGGACATGCCTTTTGTGGAGATGCTAAGGGAGGAGGGATTTAATAGCAGCCTTCGGTTACCTGCGGGTGATGACAAAGGGGATGGAGCTGGACTTCTCAGTGGTGGCAGGTGACAGGACAAGGAGCAATGGGCTCAAGCTGCAGCAAGGGGAAGTTTCGGTTAGATACTAGGAAAAACTTCTCAGGGAGGGTAGTAAAGTAGTGGAACAGGCAACTCGGAGAGGTGGAATCTCCATCCCTACGGGTCTTCAAGACCTGGGTAGACAAAGCTTTGGCTGGGAGGATATAGTTGGGGCTGGTCCTGCTTTGAGCAGGGGGTTGGACTAAATGACCTACCAAGGTCCCTTCCAACCCTCATTTTCAATGATTCTATGATTAGCATTAAACGCAATTTGCTCCAAGCAGGGACTTTCCCTCCTTAAAGCTAAGCAGGTGCTTAAAAGCACTTCTGAATCCAAGCTGTGCCACTCTGTGTTTTGTGTGCTGGATTTCTGGTATTTTTTAAACACATGGTGTCACTTTTCCTTTGTGCTGTAGCACGCTGATACTGAATCTCTTTTTGCTGGGTTAAAGTGGCTTTTGGCAAGCAATCATATAGGGGGCCATTGTACACGTGCACATTGTATGTAGGCCTTTCTGGACAGTCACTGAAATGCGTAACGTTTAATAATGAAAAATTTGCTCATGGTTTAGTCACTCGCATACATAGTGGGGGTCGTCTGCTAACATAAGAAAACTGAATTTATGGTCAGGAAAGCCTCTCTCTGAACATAGGTTATCTCTTTTCTGTGAATTGCCTGCCAAAATTGTGGGCCCGATCAAAAGAAGACATATATGATCTTTTCTGCACCTTTGTTAAAATGTCATTACTAGAACTTGTGAAACACATGCCATCGCTGGGAGCTGATGAAAGGCTGCAGGATTTCAGCCAGCTGTTGCTTTTGTTAAGTGCTATCTCATAAGTGTGCCAGTCATGCGGGGTGACACCTCTTCACATCTACCTTTTAAAAAACAGAATTCTACCATTATTATTCTTGCTCGATGGAATAGTTTAATACAAGTGAAGTACAATACAATGCATCACACATTTCCAAAGATTTAATCGTTCTGTCCATAGAAACTCTTAGCCCAGACTCTGTATTCCTGGTATTTTAAGCCAAGCTCGCCTTATTTAAAAAACATTTATTGCCTCGTTTGATTACTTGATCTTCACACCTGATTTACGCTTAGATGTGCCAAGCTAAAGACAGCTCTTAAACAGTGCTCCATATTCCTATTTGAATAAAAATCATTGGAATTGTACCGTTGTGAAACAGGGTTCAGTGAGATCAGAATGGTCCGCTTGCTGAAAAGGTCAGATTTAGGTATATTATAGCATGGCTTATCTGTCTGATGAAAAGATGAGGTGTTAACTACTTGGGTAGTGTGGAAGTGTAAGTGACTCATAGAGATGTTTCTTTTAAATTAAGGAAACTTTCGAACGGGTTCCTCACCCGCTTGGCTTGTGCGCATATCTACCTACATTACATATATTTGACCTGTGTGTAAGAGCTTCCCTTTTTGATGTAAAGGAAGCTACACATACACAGTCTGCTTGTTAATATACTGAAACTCTGGTCCTCCTGTTAAATGTGACACCAGCTGGACCCAACTATTTGCATTGGTGTTCCACCTGTAGATGAAAGCAGAATTTGGCCTTATGGGTAGGGGCACATACACATCCATCCATACTTACGATCTGGACCTGGATGTACCACTGGGTAAAAGAGGTTCTTTGCTTATTAGAGGGGTAATGAATGCTAGTCAATGTTCAGGTTTTCTTCTGCAAAATTGGCATTTTGATATTAAAGTTGGTAGATTTGTAGTATGATATATTGATCTACATGAAAAGAACCGAGTCAGTTGTCATGTTTAGACCATTAGATCATTTCATGTAGCTCTTTTTTATGATCAATTCTAATTGATAACTAATTCGACATTTCAATTTTGTTGCCAGCAGAGTGTGTGGGATTAAACAATGCTGCCTTTCTTATGAAACGATACATGCTTCTGTTTCTTTCCAGATGTATTCGGTGAACAAAGGAAAACCATAATAGCATGAAAGTACCAGTCCTTATATAATTACGACTTCTAGTTGTCGTACGTTGTTCTCGCATCCTAAGTTTCCGTGCCTTTCTAGCATTTTCCTTTTTCCAGCCCCCTAAATGATTCCTTTGGCTTGATACCTTGGTTACAACAGCTGGCTTTTGTTGCTCTGGAAAGTTTATCCCAAGTTCTCGAACCATCTTAAGTGGTTCATATAGCAGAACTGTCGACTTAAAACCAGGCTGAGGTACACAGAGCATCAAGAATGCTGGCTAGCCAAATGTCACTGGAAGAGGCTAAATAAATACAACTGTAAACATGTTTGGTTTGTTCCCCTTTATCAGACTTATCTTCCATGACGTTGGGCCATGTTTCTAGTAACAATGAGGAGAAATGAGCCTGTAAAGTAAACTGTTTTCTTCGGAGTGGAGCAGTTAAGTAAATATATTAACATTTTTTTGTACATTTTTATGCCAGAATTTTGCAAACACAGGCTGGAGGCTTCACCAGATGCATGAATTAGAGATTATTGTCAATGCAAGGACCCTTGCATAGCGACTGAATGGGTCCGTTGATGAAATTTGCATACATAGAGAGTTAAACAGCGGTTTCTACTGTATGGAACAGGGAGGAGGGCTTTTTGTGGGGTATGCTCCTCCATACATAAATTCAATATAAATAATGCTTTATCTTTTGCATCCATATTACGTCTTTATTCACCTCCACACGTATAAAGGTACAACTTTTATTTTTTTTTGTATTTCTTTTGTTCCTGCCAAAACTTTATTTTTTTTTCCTCCCAAGACACAGACTATTATTCAAAGGGGGTTGCGCACACCCAGTGACGGAAGGAAATAGCATTGTATTGCACAGGTTTGCAGGTTCATGCTACTACCAAAGCAGAGCTGCGTTTGACAATGCCTCCCCCTTCTAGTATTAGACAGCTTCTGTTTTCCACGGGCTCCTTGCTTCTCTGAGTGATCTGTCATAAGGCAGAGTCGCAAAGAAAGAATTTTTCAGCTGACAGTTAATAAAAAGCACAATTATTGTCACAGTCAAGAGCAGGAAGAAAAACAGGACTATATATGTCACCAGATCTGGCTTATTTATTTCCCCTTCTTTTAAGACCCTGGCAGTTGACATGTAAAAGGCTGAGGAGCTCACTGGTCTCTGCGTGCTGCTCAGGTAGGGGGTGTTGGTCTGAATGATTAGGTGGGCTTCGGTGGCACTGGTTGAATTTAACAATTCACTATACATGTTCTTGCTTAAATTTCCTCCACAGTAGGTATAATAGAAAAGAGCCCACAGCAGTCAATCCCTGGTGGGGAAAGGGACCGTTCCCATTTGTAACAGGCTGAAACCCAGCTGCATTTTGCGTGGAGGGAAAAGCAGCTAATTCAATTCACTCGCATGGCTCAGTAAATGTGCTTCTTTCAGGCTTCCTAGATCGCATTTACACCATTTCCCCCACAAACAGTAAGCAGAAAACGAGACAGATACCTCTTGTTCTGGCACTTGCTCTCCCAGTTCACCTGAGCTTACGCAGCACAATGGGTCATCTGTGCAAACCGAGCTGGTCACTTGGGACGAGTTTATAAGGTTGCCTGAATTTTCTTGGAAGGGTAGTGTGGCAGCCTCATGTGCATAGCAAAAGAGAGTCTCCCTCTTTCATGCAACCCCGTACTGTAAACCAGACAAAGAGGACCAACCGCTTCAGAGAAAGGAAGGCACAACAGATTTCCAGGTGATATTTTTTTTCTCCAGGGTGATGCATGCAAATCCAGCGTTAAATAGGATCCAGAGCCACCAAGAGCAGCAGTGACTTCTCTGACATCAGGCTGAATTCCCAGCAGCAATTCCCTCTCTTGGGGTACTCCTCACTGATGAACGGCTGGTCCTGTGAAGCATTAGTTGACTTTCTTGATCCCTGTTAATTGTGCGCTGTGCAGCTGGCACTAAGAAGGTTTAGCTCTCCAGATCCCCTTGTCAGGCACTTCTTTCACTTGCCTTAAAAAAAAAATACAACCACTTCAAAGTTTCCTTTGTTTCAAATGTTTGGTGGGTGCTTTTTCCTCTTAAGTTCTTTTGAAACCTTGTCCCTGATTCCAGTTCACCCCAGCTGTGACCTGGGGCTGGGATCTGAGCATAAAGATTTGTAAAATGTGACTTTTCCCTTGAAACAGAAGCTTCCCCGCAGCATCACTTGCTGCACTGTGAAGGAAAGAATTACACCGTGGTGCTGAATGTTTCTGGAGTCTGTGATGTCTTGCAGCGACTTAATGCTAAAAAGGAAGCGATCTCATCATAAATCCTCACGAGTGTTCGAGGCTCTGGGTTGAGAGTCGGTGATAAGGGAGGTGGGGGGAGACAAAGAGCACAAGCAAATAGCATTGGAGTCTTTCTTTCTACCTTAGACTTTTATTATTAAAATGGGTCTTTCCAGGGTAAACAGAAAATGTCTTTTTTTTTTCTGTCTCCCCTATAAAGTCCCCAGCACCCTCTGCAGCCTGACAATTAGCATGTTAATTCTTTTTCATCAAATTGCTTTTACGGTGCTATTAGCCACTGGCTGGCTGCCAGCTCTCTTTCACAGTCCCTCACTCCAATACATCAGATAAGCATGGTTAATACTTTATTTTAACACATTGCTACTCCAAAAGGGGCGGGGGAGGAAGGTAACATTTGGTAGCCTGACAGAGGAAAGCATGAAACGTTTTCTCCTTTCCCTCAGGGCTCGGACACAAGTCAACGTTAAGGCTTCTTACGACAAGCCATCGTACCCAATGTCCTGCATGGGTAAGCGTTTTAATTAACATCATAAAATAATTCTGCCTTAATGGGGGGGAAGGGGGGCTGGGGGGGGAGAAGAATCTTGCATTCAAAGAAATTTAAGAACAAAATGAATGAAGTTTCTCCTCTAAATAACAAAAAATTTCTAGGCACCATTTGGCTTGGCACTGAGATGCTTGCCAGGCCTAAAGATCCTGACTACATCCAGGAGTGTACTTGGTAGCCGTGTTGGGCTGAGACAAGAAGACGTACAAAAACTAGAACTCTTGGTTCCAAAATGATACCTTTTATTAGACCAACTGGGAAATTGCAAGAAAGAAAAGGACAATTTTCTTGTGATTTCCCACTTGGTCTAATAAAAGGTATCATTTTGGAACCAAGAGTTCTAGTTTTGTGTATGACCGAATCCATCAACCCTTCTTTCTGGCCCTCACTCAGCTCCCTGCCTCTCTTCCGTGCCAACTACAAGTGCATGCCTAACTTTAAGCATGTGCTTAAGGCCTACTGATTTCACTGGGACCCACCGCTCTACCAGCGGCTGGTTCTAAGCCCCGGTGTTTGCATATGCTTCTTTACTCTTTGGTGTGGTTTATGGTCATTGCTTTCTTTTTTTAAAACAGAGAAAGTCTCTTTTTCTTTTATGTTTGCTGTGTAGAAGCCTGTGCCCAGGGACTCCGAGGCTAAATTGCTCACAGGTTCCTCCAGTCTTCACATCTATGTCTTTCATATTTCACCTGCCACATCTGTAGAGCTAGGTGCTGAAGGACCCCAGTGATGGCTGAAGAGTCTGCAGGTGCTAAATTAGAAAACCTCCTTGGAAGGAGTGTGGTAGCTATCTACTGATTCCCTGCATACTTTATTGCTCTTTGATAACGAGCTCTTAAGGATGTGTCTCACCCAGGGGCCCATGCAAGCAGCATGAGAGAGACCTATATTTAAGGTCCATGTGTAGCTTCTCATGTACAGTCCTGAGAGAGTGACTTCTCCTCAACTTTCTTCTTCCTAGATGTTTTCCAAGGTTGACTCAACACTGCCCAGGCATCCTTATTATTATTATTTTAACTATCTATACACAAGGCTGTAAAAAACAGCCAGGGAGCTGAGTTATAGCAGGGACAAGGATTTCTTAATGCTTCAGGTTGTTTAGAAAAGTTGGCTATTAATAGTTTCTTTGCAAAAATTACAAAGCCCTTGGAAAAAAAGCACCACAAAGGCTATGTATATAAATGTCATAATATTGGAAAAACAAGGAACTGATGCATTTTAGTTCAGTTCCAAAGGGCGAGTTCTTGGCTCGTTCTTAAGGGTTCTGCTTTTTGCTGCTTTTTGTTAAACTGGGGAGTGGGTGCAGACAGTGGGACTAGTCCATCTACTTTTCCCTTGAGGGGTCTCATGGTAGGAGAGGAAGGGGTTCATGATCCTCACAAGTATCTCTGAAGGGCCGGGGGCCTTGCAGTGAAGGGCCAACCGTATCTTTGCAACAGGGAGGTCTATGGTGTCTATGCCGAGACTCAGTGATTCAGGGGGGCAGAGTAGCATGTGCAGAACCTAGCATGGGGTGAATCTGTCCAAACTTTGGTGAGAACCATTCTGAGTTGGATCCCAAGGGGTGTCACAGGCATGGAAAGAGGGGGACTGAAGGTGTGGGAGTTGCAGGAAGGTGGTGAAGATGAGCTCTAAGATTTGAGAATTGAGTGAGTGGACTAGTTTTTCCCACTTTTCCTGCCCATAGCAGGCCAACATCTTCCATTTGCCTCCTCCAACATTGTATCATAAGCTCTTGGAAGATTCTTTTGTCTTTCCCCTACAGATATACCAGTACAGGTCTCGATTTGGATTGCAAGTGCCAGACAACTTATTAGTTGTCTGCAGTAAATGCTCCGTGTGTTTTATGAGCACCAGTGTGTGCTGATCCTCTAGTATCCATTTGCTGCTTTCTGCTTCCATTTTGGCTGGCTGAATCTGACAGAGGAGCTGATGGGAAGCCCTGGGAGTAAGCTGGTTGTGTTTTGGGCCATGGCTGTTCAATTCAGGCTTAATCTTCTAATGGCTAATTTGCCGTAAGTAATACCTTAATTACAAAAATAAGAATTGAGCCTTTTTCTTTATTTTCCTTCATGTAGAGCATCTCATTGAAAAGCTTAAGTGACTTGCATTTTTTTTGCCATTAACTCATCTCTGGTTTGGGAGTTTTGAATTGTCATTATTTAATGATTTGTTTAAGCAGGGTATTTTTGTGCTCTGGAAAAGATGCAGACATAAGCCAAGGGGCTGGCCTCTTACATCCTGGAGGTTTATGTTATCATCATAGTTTCATAGTTTCATAGTTTCAGGGTCGGAAGGGACCTAATAGATCTTCTAGCCCGACCCCCCGCCAGGGCGGGAGAACAACCCAAAAACACAAACAAAACCACTCACCCTAAAAACAAAAACGGGACTCAAATGAGTCCAGCCAGGTAAGTATCCAGCCTCTTCTTAAAGATCCCCAGGGTAGGGGCCAGCACCACCTCCCTTGGAAGTTGGTTCCAGCTCCTAGCCGCCCTGACTGTGAAGTAGTTTTTTCGGATGTCCAATCTGTACCTCCTCTCCATCAACTTGTGCCCATTATTCCTTGTTATGCCAGCAGGGGCTAGGGGAAACAGCGTCTCCCCCAAACCCTTCTGGTTCCCCCTAGTGAGTTTATAGACGGTCACCAGGTCCCCCCTCAGCCTTCTCTTGTGGAGGCTGAATAGGTTCAAGTCCCGCAGTCTCTCACTGTAGGGTCTGCCCTGTTGTCCCCGGATCATGCGGGTGGCCCTCCTCTGGACCCTCTCCATGTTGTCCACATCCCTCCTGAAATGGGGCGCACAGAACTGGACACAATACTCCAGCTGCGGCCTGACCAGCGTCGCATAGAGGGGGAGGATCACCTCCCTGGCTCTACTCGAGATGCACCTGTGGATGCACGACAAGGTCCGGTTAGCCCTGCCAACCATGACCTCGCATTGTCGGCCCATGTTCATCTTGGAGTCAATAATGACACCAAGATCCCTTTCCGCCTCCGTGCTCTCAAGTAGGGAGCTCCCCATCTTATAAGTGTGCTGCTGGTTCCTACTACCCAAGTGCAGCACCCTGCACTTGTCCGTATTGAAACGCATCCTGTTCCTGTCTGCCCACCCCTGTAACCTATCCAGATCCTTCTGCAATCTCTCTCTCCCTGCTAGCGTGCTCACCTCCCCCCAAATTTTGGTGTCATCAGCGAATTTAAACAGGTTGCTCTCCACCCCAACATCAAGATCGCTGATGAAGACATTGAACAGCGCAGGGCCCAGGACCGAGCCCTGAGGGACTCCACTACCCACCTCCCCCCAAGTCGAATATGATCCATCCACCACCACCCTCTGAGTGCGACCCTTCAGCCAATCTGCAATCCATCTGACCGTGTAGGCATCTATGCCACAGTCGCCTAGTTTACTAATTAGGATGGGGTGAGAGACGGTGTCAAAGGCCTTGCTGAAGTCCAGAAAGACTACATCCACCGCGACACCTGCATCCATGGCCTTTGTGACCTGATCATAAAAGGCAATCAGGTTGGTCTGACATGATCTCCCCCTAATAAATCCATGCTGATTGCCCCTGAGCATCATCTCGGATGCCGGCCCATCACAAATGTGCTCCTTGATGATCTTCTCAAAGAGCTTCCCCAGGATTGAGGTAAGACTGACGGGCCTATAATTGCCCGGGTCCTCCCTTTTCCCTTTTTTGAAGATGGGGACCACATTAGCTACCTTCCAATCGTCTGGCACCTGGCCCAAGCACCACGATCGCTCGTAGAGCCGTGCCAGGGGCCCTGCAATAACCCCAGCCAGCTCCCTCAGCACCCTGGGGTGGAGAGCATCCGGACCCGCTGACTTGAACGCGTCCAGCCCCTCCAGAAGCTCTCTAACCCGGTCCTCCCCAACCTGAGGTCTGAAGGCGATCCCCTCGCGTCCGGCTTCTATCACAGCAGGGAAGTCCCGGTCCCTGCACAAGAAAACGGAGGTGAAGAATTGGT